TAACGGCCGGTCGCAGGGCTCCGGTGCCCCGGCCCGGCGCGGCGCGGCCCGCCCCCGCGCACACTACCCCCCATTGCCAAGCCGTGACTCACTGCGCGCCGCGGCGGCTCGGAGGCCGGGCTAGGAAACCCGGGTGACGAGACCTCCGCGGAGCATCCCGCCCTGCCTGTGCCCGCAGCCACGGCTCCCCGGCACAGGCCGGGCCTGAGGACGAAGCGCCGGCACAAGCCTTCCGGGCCTCTACAAGCGGCCTTGACAGCGAACAGGCGAATGAAGCAGCCTCCCCCTGAGAGAGCCCAGGAGCCGGCTTCGGCGACCGCCCTTCCCGCCGCTTGCCTCGACCCCTTGCCCTCAGCCTCTGCCCCTCGTGCCCCCAGCTGCCTCCTCCCCCCGCTCAATCCTTCCCACAGGCTGCCACTTCCTCCTCTCAAAGCAGAGGGTGCCACCCCACTTCAAGATACACTTTTGGGAGGGCTCTGCAAAAAAAGTTGAGCACCCCATTACCTGCCTCCCACCCAGGCACATTGTGTCAATAAAAACCACACATCCTGTGCGCCATCTCACTTTGAGTCCCAAATTAGATAGGATTAAAAATAGTTTTCCCCAAAAGATTGTTTGGGGAATAACTATAGCAGGGTGCAGGCCCTAGCAATGGCAACCAGTGGCTGGAGGCGAAGCTGGCTTGGCTTTGCCAGGCCTCTCAAAGAGCAGGGCCTGGGGCAGTCTCCCCAATTTGCCCCCCCCCCCCCAGACAGCCTTGCCCTGAGGCTATGATTTTCAAATCATACAGAGGGGCTCAGCCCATGGGCAACTAGTGCCACCTTAGTTGAGGGGGCTAGTGCCCCCCCCCCCAGCTAATCTCACCAACTGGGGGGTGGTTCCCCTATGGCCAATTGTGCCAATGGGGAAACAGCACTCCATGTGGCGCTCACAGGTGGGGCACCGGTGTTCCTGCCTGCCCCCATGCCCATCACCTCAGTGGGGAGTGCAGCCTGTCTGGGGGGGGGCACCAATGGTCTCAGGGGATGCACATGCACCCCCTACACGTCGCCACTGGCTTCAGTCCCCCACCCAGCTCTCCTGTAATGTGAATCCTGGGCTTGTCTACAAGTGCGCTTTAGTCTATTTGAATGCGCATTAGAGCATCAGGTAAAAAAAACCCACGCTCAATTACTCAAATAGGCTAATGCGCATTAAGCATCACTTGAAAAGCATTTGCTTTAGTTAATGTGGGTTAAGTCAGGCTAATGCATATTTTCACAGTACCTCACAACGGAGGATGTGTTTACAGGTGCTCTGGGGGTAGGGTGTCGCACTTTAATTAGAGCAGCGTGGAGAGCTGCCACTACCGCATCTCATGCATCACCATCCCTGCGCTTCCAAATGGCGGTAGGGGCGCTTGAACTAAAACTCATTTGAGCTTTAGTTCAAGTGCCCCTACCGCCATTTGGAAGTGCAGGGATGCTGATACACACGACGCGGGAGGCTGCTGAAGCGTGGGAATTGCCACACTCCAGCCAGCTCAATCAAGTCTGCTCCACCACGCTGGAATTCCAGTGCGTCGGAACAGCCTCTGCGCTTGTGTGCAGGCGCTAGGAAGTACTAGATTTAATGCGCATTAACTAACGTACATTAATTCACATGTAGACTTGCCCATGGAGACTATTACCACCCCCCCCAATATATCTATGTTCCCCATTCTTAAGAAATAAAGCTCTTAGAAGCCTAACCAAGTATCTGCTGCAGTTCACTGTGCTTTGCTCCTGGTTTCACAAATTTAGGTGCTTGGCTTTCCACAGGCCACTAGGGTGCTTACATGCATGAAGCTGAGCATGTCCCAAGCTTGCAAAGCAGTTGCCAAGAGTCTGTAAACTCTTTGGGACAGGGACCCTGGGGGCCAGTGTTCAAAACTTGTTAGGGAATTTAGAGTCAAGACAAATTCTCAAAAAGGGAAGTGGAGTTTCTTCAAAAGTCTATGGGACTTGCATGCTTTAAAAAAAGAAAAAAAAAGTTGATCCATGTTATTGTTTGTTGCCTTGTCACACTAGTGTTTTTCTTTAAACTTTCCACAATTGCACTTAGAGTAGTAAAGATATAGGACTGGTCAGGATTTTTAGTGAAGAAGTGGTCACCCTGCACTCCCACAACTGCCAATTAATTGAAATGGAAAGTATCAATTTTGATTTTATTTTTGTTGTGACACATTTTTCAATTCCAGCTGGAATTCCTGATCAGAATTAGAGGAAAAAAAAAAAAAAAGGCTTGGAGCACTCACCTGGGATAAAGGAGACCTGCAGGTTCAAGGCCTGCTCTATCCAATTCATAATACAGGGCTAGTGAATCAAGCTCTGAATTTTCACGGGGGGGGGGGGGGGG